GGAGCTCTACAAGAGTATCAATAAGAAGTTTGAAAACAAGTTGTATAAGTATAACTGCCTTGTTGAAAGAAAAGCCATAGAAAGCAATAGCAAGGCGGATCTGTTCAGGTATATCAACTTCAGGATTAGAAAAAAAGAAAGCATCACTGCACTAGTGAAACCAGATGGTACCATAGCTATCTTCGTAGATTTCGGATAAGGCCGAACTTTTGGCCGAAAACTTTTGAGAGAGTTTATGTTAAGCACAACGATTCTGAAAATGGGAGTCTTGAATTGTATGGAATCTTCCCGCAAATGGATGACTCTTTGTGGTTCCATGAACATGATATTTATCACATTTTGACTCAGTGGAAATCAACGTCCTCGGTCACTCCTGATGGGATCCCATTTCGATTCATAAAGGAATTAATTTCCCTCCATTGTATCTCCGTTAAAGTATATCTTTAATTTGAGTTTTTTTCACGGGGGCCGAAGTTCGAAAGGAGAAATGTATAGGGCCGTTGTTCCTATTCCCAAAAAAGCTCCACTAAAGGATCCCAATAACTATAGGCCTGTTAGCATCTCGTCAGTTTTTTGACGAGTATTTGAAAAAGTTTTAAAGAAGGTTTTAGTAGAGCACTTGGAACGGAATAAGATATTGTCCAACAGTCAACATGGATTTCGTAAATATCGATCCACGGTCACTCAAATGCTTGAAACCATGAATGATTGGACACGTTTTTGGACAGTGGGAAAGAGGTTGATGTCATCTACTTCGATTTCTCCAAGGCTTTCGACAGGGTCTCACATAGGAAGTTACTGACGAAGTTGAGACACATAGGCGTACATAAAAGAATAATAGCATGGTTAGAATCATTTCTGAAGCAACGCACTTTTCAAGTCCGGATCAACAATACGTTCTCTGGTGTTAGGTCAGCACCTAGTGGAGTCCCTCAAGGAAGTGTCCTTGTCCCCAGTTTTGTATAATATTTACACATATGAGCTCCCCAGTAAAATCGAAAGCTCAGGTGTTGTTTGCAAAGCGTTTGCTGACGATTTGAAGATCTATAAAGCGGTTTCCTCCTCAGATGATTCAACTAAAGTTCAGGAAGCAATTAACACTGTGAGTGCTTGGTCCAAGGTCTGGGGTCTCCCCCTAGCAAATGAAAATCTTCTGTATTCCATCTCGGTCCTAACCCCATTCTTTCGAGTACCATATCGAGGGCAATAAGCTCTCCACAAGCAGGGAAGTTAAAGACCTAGGGTTTATGTTGACAACAAGTTGACCTTCGCTCAACACTGTATATCAATATCGAGTAAGGCAGAACGGCGGCTCAACTTACTCATGAGGAGTTTGTTTACTAGTTTACTAAAGATCCATGTGTCCTTCTCAAGGCATACAAAACTTATGTTCGGCCAATACTAGAATACGGGACTTGCATTTTCTTTGCACAACTTCGAAGCCGTTCAAAATTAGTTTCACCAGGAAACTTCTGATAGAGCACTTGGTTTCAGCTATAACTCAATACCCCGAGGGGTTATTAGGAACAAAATGTTAGGAATTGACTCTCTTCTGTATAGAAGAAAGATGTTTGACTTGATAACTGTTTTCAAAATGCTCACAGGGAAAGTCAATGTCAAATATGAAGATTTCTTTACAATTTTACACACGAATACAAGGGGAGAGAAAAACAAACTTTCTATTCCTACACCTAGGACAAGTACAAGAGCCAGGTTTTTCACTTCAAGGGCAGTTACGGATTATTCCAAATTGTCAAAAAAGATTTGCAGTACCTAAAAGTACAACACAATTCAAGAACATCTTGCGGCGTTATCTGAAATGAGGACATTTGTTATGACCTTGTCGGCAGGGAGGTTTTCTTATCTCGGGGGGTGTGGTGTACTACTTATATCGCTTTTCTATGCCTAATTAATATACAGTTTTTCCGTATTTATTCTGTCGCTAGAATTTATTTTTAACTATTCAAGTACTCGAGTGCTATCTAAGCAACCAGTTTGATCGTTTTTTTCTTCTCGTTGGCTTTGAAGTTGTGTTCCTTCATGTGCCTGACACATGCAATAAATAAATAAATAAATAAATTATGGTAGGCCTCCTTGGCTCGACGGTGATGACAGATGACGTCATATTCTAGAAACGGTGAAGGCAGTGAAGGTGACCCTGGCCCTGCATACGGGGGGACACTAAGGAACACTTCGCCGTATAAGTCCCAATAACATACGCATCCTTTGCGACAAAGTTTCATGACATGCACCATTACCACAGTGACTTTCATAGCCCCCTGTATGTATTATAGTAGTACTTTATGGTTGTCAGGATCTCTCCAACTTCTTTCTTCAGCTCCATCAAGGTGCAAAATAGAGAAGTGTTCGATGCGACTGCTGGATACTACCGGATAGTGAAGCGAGGCTCAGTTTTTGTTGTTAGTGGACAGTGTTAGAAAAAAAATTTGGAAAAGTGATTGTCCACGTTTGCAGCAATCACGTTCACATAATTTGCAATGGGTATGGAAAGAACACTTTTGGTGTTTTGTGGTGAAGATGACAGGCACGTCTACCGTACCTTTAGTGCTGCCGATAAGGGTTTCAATTGCTACTTCACTTTTGCAATTTTTCACGAATTCCATGAAATGCTCATCTCAAAGTACTTGCCTTCAGAGAACTGGTCATAAGTGTTGATTTCATGATAAGAAATTTGATGCCGTTGGGCTCTATATAATGGTTGCTCACTACGAAGGCTTCGTAATTCACATCTAGCAGCTCAGTTGTCTTGGCGTTTTCCCCTATGGTGGACTTCCTCAAAAATATAACACTTTCAGAATGAAGCTTCTCATTTTGGTAGCCGCGCAGTGTAGTCGTTTGCGAAAGATTCACAGATCGATAGAACCTCCAAAGATGTGCTCGCTCTGCAAAGATGCAGGAATGTAGTTGTAAATGATGGACAGGGTCACTACGATTGAAACGTTGGTTTTTGCATCTCTTTAGGAATGTCGACTGGTACGCGTATGAATGGACGGGTTTCTCACCAGAGACTCATTGTAGCAAGGATGGCGAGGTACGTAGACTTATAGAAGGCAAACAGCACTAAGTCTAAAATTAGGGAATCTTACGCGTAGTTGGGAGAGGCATGCGATTCTCACTAAGGTGGCGGCCGACGGCTCAATTCCGCAATGAGGATTAGTGCGGGGCGCAGACGATATGGCATTGACTTTGCGCCACAGCGCTATTAGCGCGCTGTCGTCGCGGTGTGCCCCCTCTGTCTGAGCCTCTAGCCGTTTGGTAGAGGGAGAGAGCATTAACGTTGGAGAGGGTAGCACCGATGTGAGTTGCACCAACGGACAAGGAAGGGCCATATTGTTCGCAAGCTGAAGCAATTAAAGCCATTAATCATAAGCCACTTTCCGGTTTTTTCTCCTTTCGTGTATCAGTAGCCATCTCTTTCTTAATCTCCGGACACAAAGGATACAAGGGATCTGGGTCGAAGTTAAAATTTGCAGTCATTCTGTCTCAACTTCATATATTCCTGCTTTCCTATAGCTATTGAAACTAAATAGGAAGCCGGCTTCCCGTTTACTATTTGCGAGAGAAATTGGACGAAATAAGTAAAGAACAAATTCGTAAAATGACGGAGCGATCTAATGGTAAGTGGCATAACTTAGCAGGCACAGGGTTCGTGGTTCAATCCTGGATGGAATTTTAGAATTGAAACCGTGCCTACAACTCTTTCATGGACGATGACTGATATCAGGCTTGTCTCTAAGTGTAGGAACGCTGACATTCGCATCAGTTGGTTTCTGGAGTTTATTGGTACTCACGCAGCAACACCGAACTACGGGGGGGGGGGTGAAATGTATGCTGCATCTCACAAAGTGACTAATCGACTCTGGACCAGCTAACACTTGACCTTCCCTGTCACCGTCCAAACAAACTGTGCTGGGGTTCGGTTTTGTCAAAGTATTCTTCAAAGCTGGGTAGCAGGAACGTGTCCTCTCTTTATCCCGATTTCAGAAGAATATTTCACAAACAAAATTGGGTTTGGGAGAAGTAAAGGGGCAGTAATTAATACGTTCAACGAGGAGGTACCTTCGCAAGCATTCAGCATAGTTCTCCACCTGAGTGAGCAAGTAAGTAAATTTCTTCCAGGTGTTCATAATCCAATGCTCGGAGCTGCTCAGCTTCCTACCGTTTGGTGGAATGGAGTGTCAGCAGATCGCACATGGTAAAATCCCGAAGATCAAGGAATTCCTCGAATCAGGAACTGCTGCAAAGGATGTCTGCAGCAAGTTGAAGGCGTGCTGAACAGGCGGTTTATCCCATCATCTGCATTATTCTATGTCCAATAAACGCTTTTTACTTCTCAAGGTCCCCGTGTAGAATGTACATAAGGGTGCCAAGATATCACTCTTATACCACGACAAACTATCTTCTCAAAATTTATGTTCCACTAGCCGACCATTGTCACAACATGAAAAACCTATGCTTCCGTGAATTCAATCCGATCCCGATGCAACGACCTTCGCTACAGTATCATTCCTTTCCTGGATCTCATCGAGACGTGATCGGAAGGGCACCAGTAGTCTTCTGAATGATGCAAAAGCGGTGGCATCCTACCAGTTTCCTTGTAATGAGCCACGTCTTCCTTTCTGTATCGTTCTACGACTCGCGTAGCGTTCATAATGACAAACAAAGCGCAGTAGCTGTAGGGTCAGGCCAGGCATGGTGATGAACAAGTTGTTCAAATAAGAGTCCTTTCTAGACGGGGTCTGGCAGCTGCTCAGCTTCGTTTGTCTTGCTCTAAGTCATGTTCAACC